ACCAGCGACCCAGAAGAACATCTAGACGCGTTCGTCACACAGGTCGGCCTGTACACTGACGACGATGCTGTCATGTGCAAAGTTTTCCCCACTTCACTAAAAGGATTGGTGTTAAACTGGTTCACAAGACTCCCACCTGGATCGATTGATTCCTTCACAACCTTATCATCCCGGTTCGCGATACAATTCGCTACAAGCCGTCCACACCAACTCACCTCGATCGCGTTGGTCAACATTCGCCAAGAGAAGAAAGAACCTCTTAGAACTTTCATGGAGAGGTTTGGAAAAATGACACTATCTATTCGCGATTTGGACCCAGCCGTTGCCATGCATCACTTAACCACGGCGTTACGACCTGGGCCATTCGTCAATAGCTTATGCAAAAAACCACCCCGAGACCTTGACGACCTGAGACAAAGAGCCACGAAATACATGCAGATGGAGGAATTGGCTGAATTTAGAAGTCAAAACTGACCCGACTTGTTTCTCACCAAAAAAGAAAGTGACAAGGAGCTTCCCAGACCTCGTCCCCTAGACACCACCGATCGAGAGAAGAATAACAGAGGTCCAAGGTACATGCAATACACGCCGCTTACCACTAGCAGGGCCAAGGTGTTGGAGCAGGCGTTAGCCACAGAAGTACTAGCTGTTCCTCGAAGAGCTATGTCCCCGCCTCACGCCGACACATCCAAGGCATGTCAATTCCACCAGAATAGAGGACACACTACTGAAGAGTGCTCTGCCCTTCGGGATCGTATTGAGGATCTCGTTAAAGCCGGACATCTCCAAAATTTTGTTCGAGGAGATAACAGGAGAAATAATTATCGTGCTGGCAGGGATGAGGGCCGAAAGGAGAATCGAGATCGAGCACCCCACAGGAGCCGATCCCGTGAACGCAGCAGGTCTCAAGAAAGAAGCAGTCAACAGCGAGACCGGAACCAACCCAGGAGAGTGATAAAAACCATTGCGGGGGGCTTCGCAGGAGGAGGGAGTTCTTCGTCGGCCCGAAAAAGACACCTGAGGGCGATCAAATCGGTTAACTCCATAGGACGGGCAGCTGCAATTCGTATGCCCCCTATCACATTCACCGACCAAGATTTTCAAGGCGTCGATCCAGTGCAAGATGACCCCATGGTCATTAGTGTGGAAATTAACAACTATATTGTAAGAAAAACTCTTGTCGATCAGGGAAGCTTGGCTGACATCTTATACTGGAAGACTTTCGAGCAGCTCGGCATCCCCGAACAGGAATTGATACCTTACGATGAACCTTTGGTGAGATTCTCAGGTGAACGTGTGGACACAAGGGGAACAATAGACCTGTACACCTATTTCGGAGACGACCAGCAGAGACGAAGGATAAAAGTACGGTACGTTGTGGTGAGTGCTAACACGTCGTATAATATCCTCTTAGGTTGACCCTCCTTAAACAGGCTGAGAGCCATCGTCTCTACCCCCCACTTGGCAATGAAATTTCCGTCTGAAGAAGGAAAGATCATTACATTGCATGCCGATCAAAAGATAGCCCGTGAATGTTACCTGGCCAGTCTGAAGGTACAACCGACTCCGAAGATGACCCGACGCCGAGACGTCAATGTCATTGGAGATATTGGTCACTACAAAATGGGGGGCTTAGAACTTCAACCCAGAATAGAGGACGAACATAGGGTCGAGCCGACAGAAACAACAATCCCGTTCCAGCTCGGGAAGATGGAGGATCAAGTCACATACCTAAGTTCCCAATTGACAGATGATGACGCGGAGGACATTAAGCGAGTCTTACTGAGGTATTCAGATTTGTTCACTTGGACAGCAGCCGATATGCCAGGCATCGACCCTAGCTTCCATTGCCACCGACTCTCGATTTGCCGAGATGCCAAGCCGATCGCGCAGAAAAAGAGGAAAATGGGGGGAGAAAGATCCCAAGCAGTAAAAGAAGAAACGACTAAACTGCTACATGCAGGATTCATTAGGGAAGTCAAGTATTCAACCTAGTTAGCTAACGTAGTGATGGTCAAGAAGGCGAATGGCAAGTGACGAATGTGCACCGACTACACGGATCTCAACAAAGCATGCCCAAAGGATGCTTACCCCCTTCCGCACATTGACGCGTTGGTTGATGGAGCAGCCGGTCACCACATGTTAAGCTTCTTGGATGCCTACTCAGGGTATAATCAGATACCCATGTACCCCCACAGGGTAATGCCGTTCGGTTTGAGGAACGCAGGAGCGACCTACCAGTCCCTCATGGACAAGATTTTTCGTCGGCAGATTGGGACATGTTTAGAAGTATATGTGGACGATATGGTGATCAAGTCCACTTCAGTCGGTGATCACCTAAAAGACCTCGGCACAATATTTGAGGAAGTAAGGCGTCACCACATGCGATTAAATTAGGCAAAATGCACATTTGGGGTAGCTGGCGGAAAATTTTTGGGATTCATGTTGTCAAAAAGAGGTATAGAGGCCAACATCGACAAGTGTCAAGCTATTATCAACATGAAAAGCCCTCGCAACATAAAAGAGGTGCAAAGGCTGGCCAGACGCATCACTTCCTTGGCTCGTTTTCTCCCCTGGATGGCCGAGAAGTCAAAGCCCATAATGTCCCTACTAAAAAAGGCTACCAAGTTTTAGTGGAACGAGGAATGCGAGTCGGCTTTTCAAGACCTGAAGACAACACTAGCAACTCCACCGTTGCTGACCAAACCAGACCCTCGGTTGGACATGATCGTGTACATATCGGTCTCGGACAAAGCCATCAGCTCTGTCTTGGTGCAAGAAAAAACAGAACAAATGCCGGTATATTTCGTTAGCCGAGTGCTACAAGACGCCGAGACGAGATATCAGCACCTCGAGAAGACGGTCTTAGCTCTTGTTCACACCGCTATACGCCTCTGACACTACTTCCAAAGTCACCGGGTGCTCGTCCGAACAGATAGCCCCATAACTAAAGTCTCTCGCAAACCGGAATTGGCAGGACGAATGGTCGCATGGTCCATTGAGCTATCGCAGTTCGACATTCGTTTTGAACCAAGAGGACCAATCAAAGCACAAAGCATGGCCGATTTTGTAAACGAATTCACCCCACAAGCGCTTCCCGAATCCAACCTGTGGATCCTGCATGTGGACGGGTGATAGACCATGGGCCAAGGGCCCAGTGACCAGAGCTATGGCTAGGAGGATACAGGAAGAGCTGGATATTGTGGAGAGTAAAGGGCT